AAAAAAAAAAAAAAAAAAATGGGAATGATCCTATGTAAAAAAAAAAATAAAAAAATAAAAAGGAAGGGAATTCTGATACATGCTGCAGCATGAATGAACCCTGTGGGCATTATGGCAAGTCCAGTCACAAAAGTACAAATATTGTATGATTCCTCTTATGTGAGGTACCGAGAGTAGTTAAACTCAGATACAGAAAGTAGAATGGTGGTCATCGGGGACTAGGGGGAGGAAAGAATGGGAGTGTTACTGTTTAATGGGTAAAGAGTTTCAGTGAAAAGAGTCCTGAGGCTGGATGGTGGCAATGGCAGCAAAAAACTTGGATATACTTAATGCTACTGACCTGCACACTTAAAAATGGTTACTATTTTTATGTGTATTTTATAATTTAAAAAACAAAAACTATGAAAACTAAAGAATTAGATTCCATTTGCACATGTATTTTTAGATTGTTATTTTATCCAATTTATGAGGGAGCACTGCTATCTAGGCTTCAGTCTCTACTTTGAAATGCAAACATACTTGTGAAAATTACATTTTTCCTCTTTAAAAGATTCCCTTTAAAAATACCTAATTTGAAAAGAATTAGCTATATAATGGAACCATAAACAAACTTTAAGGAGCATTTGCTTTAACAACCTAAGTTGGGTCTTAGTAATAACATCCGTTATTTGATGTTGACCAATAACCACTAACAACTTTCTGCTGCATGCCCAGTACAATGAAAGACACCTCTAATGTATACCCTCTTATCATCTCCACCTCCACTCTTGCAATAATTTCCTAACAAGTCTCTCTGATCATTATCCAGTTTCCACCACTACAAGAGTAACCACTAAATCAAAATATACCGAGTGCCTATTTTGTGCCAGGCACTAAGGATACAGTGATGAAATCAGACACACCTCCAGCTTTCGGGGAGTTCACAGTCTGGTCCAGGAGAGAGAAAAACAAAATCATATAATTTCAGGCAGTAAAAGTGCTATGAAATGTAAGCAAATCGGTAAGAGGCAAGCTATTGCAGACAGAAGTCAGGCAAGGCCTCTCTCAGGTGAATGACTCTTGACATATGACAGGTACCCCTCCCCCCTCACTGCACCGTTCCAAGAATGTCCTTTTTTTTTTTTTCCACACTGTTTAAGTCAATATAACGGCTTGTCTCACAGAAGGAAGAACACCGGAATAGCTTAGACTTTCTTGCTATAGCAAGCTCAAATTGTGTCAGACAGTTTTGATCATCTGCCACAGAGTGTTGCTTGCAATAAGAATGTGTCATTGGAAAAGTCATAGTAATGTACATCCAGAGGCTGCATCTACAACCAGTAAATGTTTCATAATCCATTAAGAAGTGATTCCATGTAGTAAAGTATAAAATGATGAAGTAACAGTGAGACAAACAGTGAAAAGAGAAAATGAATTTTTACTTCCTTTGGCAGAGTAGCATGGTTTGTGTTAATACTGTAGAACCAGGGAAAGTAATACTGAAGGGAAGTGAGTATTCATTCAGATACTCAGCAAAACCCCTCTTCTTCCAGACCCTGGCCTCAAACCTTTGAACACACATTTGTGATTCTATCACTCCCTTCAATTCAATAGCTCTCCAGCTAATCTGGCTGAAATGAGACCCCCCCCCCCAGTGTGGCAACAAACCACTTTACCATTCATATTCTTCAGGGTCTCCCCACATGCCCTCAGTTTTCCAAGAAAACTAAGCTTTGGTGAATCCTCTTCCTTCTGCCTAGATTCCCTCCCGACCAAATCTCTCACTCTATCTACCTACCTTCAAAGCCCATCTCAAATATCAACTCCTAGAACAATGACATGAATATGATTTCCCCAGAGAAGCGGTATCTCCTTCTTCAAACTCCCTTTCCAGTCTTAAAACACCTGATGTTTAATTATAACTATTTTGTGTTGTTCTCCAACTCCATTATGACAGGTTTCATGGTTGAAGAAACAGGCTTGTTCATTTTTTTATCTCTTATAGTATGTTTTTCAGAGTACATACTCTTTATTCATGTTTATTAAATATGTAGAAGACTCAAAGAGATCTACCACTTGGCTGAGGAACAAAATTCAAGATGGCATAAAGTTCTACTTGGTATGGTTCTAGGCACTAAAATGCTGTGATTTGGTAAGAAATCACAACAGAACAGTAAAGTAGCAGAGAATGACTATGTTCAAACTCTAGCTCTTCCACTAATTTGACATGAACCTCAGGGAAGTTATTTAGCTTCTCTGGGCCTCAGTTTCCTCATCTGTAAAATGGTGAGACTATCACCTACCTCAGGGGTTGATGTGAAAAACCACAGAACCACAGCTAGAACTCAGGTTAGGCACAGAAAGATGCAAGCTAAGCAGAGAAGGTAGAGATGCACAGAGGAGGAAAACTAGCAAAGGCTAGGAAGTGAGAATAAATGTGGAACATAAGACAATCGGCTAGTTTTTGTTTTGGGCAATGGTGGGAAAATAAGGTATGATCTAAATGAGTTTAAAAATAGTGGACTAAAAACTGATTATATAAACCACATTACTTTATCACGTGTATATTTGGAGTTAGATGAAAGAGTTCTAGTGACAGTAATTAGCATCCAGTCTACATAATAATCTGCCTTGAGAACATCTCACACACTATATACCAGTCAGTTCTTTAATGAGAATCTGTATAAAACTCAAGAATTCCATCACATTTTGTTCAAGCCAAATATAAGTAAATGCTGGATTATAGTTATTTTAGAAGCATCCCTTTCTTTATGCTAGCTGAAAGAAACCAAGAGCTGATTATATGACAATGTAATAAAACACAAATTGAAAGAACTGCACTCCCCCATGAATTACCTTCTTACAATGTAAGATTTTATTACTCCTCTGCTCAAAACCCTCAGATAGCTCCCATCCCAGTAAAGGTGAAATCCTCACAACAGTGAAAAAGGCCCTGGTTGTTCTGCCCACCCCTTTCCCCCCTCCTTCCCTGACTTCATCTCCTACTACTCCCTCAGCTCACAGGACTCCAAGCACATTGGTCTTCTCACTGTTCCTCTAACAGGCCAGCTTTGTCCTCTTCAAGGCCTTTATGCTTGCTGTTCCCCAGCTTGGAACGTTCCTTTCCCCAGATATTCACAAGGCTCACTCCCTCACCTTCTTCTAGTCTGCTTAAGTATCACCCTGTCTGTAAGGAGTTGCCTGACTAATCTATTGCAAATTCGAAAAACACGTTCCCATTCCCCTTTCCAGCTTTATTTTTTTCCCTAAGGCATGGATCATCTTCTAACATACAGTATAATTTATGTATCTGTTTGCCTCTCTTCCCTCCACTAGAAAGTTAAGTTTCATGAGGGCAGAAGTCACAGACCTATCCCTAACACCTTAGATGGTGTTAAGGAATAGGCACACAATAAGCACTAATAAAAATATTCGGTGAAAGAATGAGTTACACATTAGGCTACATAAAGCCCCTTCTAGATACGGGAAAATACATTTTTGCCCATCGCTGAAAGTCTAAAAATTAATTTTTGGTAGAAACACTTATTGCTCACCTCCTATGTGCCAGAACTGGGCTTGGCTCTGAAAAGTTTAAATGAATTAAGACAATTCCTGCCCTTTAGAAACTCCTGGGTGTGTATATGGGGGACAGACACACAAACATCATTTATAAGACACCATATACAGGGAAGCCACAGAAAATTGATGAACAGCCTAAAGGAGTGAGGGCAAGGAGAGAAATGCTCACTGAGGCTATGAGACTACAATTACCCCAAACTCTCGACTAGTACGATAGTTTTTCCTTATATTTTTGGTGCGTATGCTTGCAACTCCACATAAATTATTTATTCACGTAAGATAGGCTTTCATGTAGGCCGCAAAAAAGTTTGTGTGACTATGGCGATCTCCTCAAGACTGCACAAAGAACATCGACTATTTGTTTTACAGTCTTCTCGTTTGGCAGGTTTTACCTATTAGGACCCCTACTTTGGGGGCCTGCATCTCCCACCTGCTGCCTGCTTGAGTCAGAATCCTCCCCGTGGCTAGCCCTGCCTCAGAGCCGGGCACCCTGCAAATCCCTTCCTAGCCCGGCGGGCGCCGCCTCCGGAAAGCCGCCAACTGGGCCTCGGTAAGAGTTGCGAGAAGCGGGAGCCGTGGGAGGGCGGCGCGGCTCGGAAGGCCCCGTCTAGGCCTCAGCCCACGTTTCCATCCCTCCCCAGTACCCTGGCCGCTGGTGCCCGGAGGCTCCGCGGACTCTTTGTTAAGAGAGGCCGCAGTTCTCCGCCCTCGCTAGGCCCCACAGTTGCCTCCAGTGCCCCCGAGGGTTAGCAGCCCTAAGTCCAGAGCTCCCACGCACAAACCTGCTGCTACAGCTGCAGCAGCAAATGCTACTACCGCCGGCGCGGAAAAAAATCTCGCGGCCCAAAGTACGCGCTGTCCGGGCTCCGTCCCGCCGCGGTCTTCCCTCTCCGCCCCCTTCGCCGTTGCTGCCGCCGCCGCCTCTGGCCCGTTGCTGAAAGGGGGAGGGGAATGAAAACCTGACATGCGCAGTGAAGAGAGCGCGGGCCAAAGGGCGGAGCCTGAGGCTACGGCTCCCGGAAGGCGCTGCTGGCTCCCGGCTTTAAAGTTCCAGAATGCCTCACAGGTTCCTCAGACTCTGAGGGGGAGCTGCTGCTGGGTGGAGAGTGTTCATGGTCCACCTCGAAGGTGGGTCTGGGAATGAAGAAAGAGGGGCAGTGACACGGAGCCGCCAAAAAATCCGAAGAGAAAGGAGTAGGGCGAATACCACATTTACATTAAAATGTCAATCCCCTTAACTCCGGTCCCTTGCAAATACGACTCGAGCAACATTTCTCCGCTTGCCTCTAGACACGCGGTCCCATAGAGCATGGCCACCTTTAGCTTCCGGAGCACCCGTTCACTGTGACGTCAACTTGACGGAACCCAAGTGAGGAGGACTGGGATAGGCGAGGACAATTCCGGCCCCGGGGCGGGGATTATGTAATTTTCCCAGCAGCCCCACCTCGCCTCAGCTAGGCCGGGGAGAGGGCGGTCTCGCGCTGTCCCCGAGGCTGCGTCCCGTCCCCCACGCCGCGCGCAGGCGTGGACGAGCCGCACGCATTCTACGTAACGGACGGCGGAGGCTAGGTGAAGGGGGGCGCGGCGTGACTGAGCTACTTGGTCGGCCTCTGTCTTAGAGGCTTCTGGGCACTGAAACCGCAGCGACCACAGAGGCGGCGACCAGACTGAGAGGCAGGCGGGGTAGAGGTGGCGGAGGCAGGAGCGCTGGGCCGAGTTTTAGCCTCGGCTACGGGTAGGTAGCGGGCCATGAGGCGTTAGTTGGTGGGTCCGGGCAAGGCCGAGCGGTGACTCTTGAGCTGCGTGGCCTGTATGCCGGTCTGGTTCCTCAACCAACCCTTAAGTCCAGCCGGTGGTGACAGGCATCGGTCCCTGCGCCCTCTAACTTCTCCCGACTTTATTTTGAAAAAAAAAAAATTTTTTTTTAACTCTGCATCAACATTAAGGCCCATTTTCTGTTGATTTGCGGGGTGGAGGGGTGTTGGGGAATTTAATGGTTTTCGGGAACTTTCCCACAGAACCGGGGAGGGGTGAGAAAATGCCAACCAGAAGGGCAAAGTTAGAGGAAATTTACAGTGTGCAGCTGGAAGAATGGAAGCAGACATTAGGATGAATTGATTCTGCATGGTAGGGAGAAACTAAACAAGGGTGGTTTAACAGAAACAACAACTTCTGTGGCCAATTTTTGATGAAGGTTTCTAACTTGAAACGTTTTTATCCATCACATGTAAGGAGATGGGAATGAAATCTACATGATTTCCAGAAGACTCATATTCTGGCCGTTGTCAGAATGGCCTAATCGAAAATGACAACAGGGAATGATGGCCTCACTTACTCCTCTTTCGTTTTTAAATTCAGAGTCAGTCGCTGAGAGACTATTGGATGAGCTTGCAGAAGATAATCAAACCAGATTCGTTAATGCTTTTGCCTTGACTTGGTCCTGTGTTCCTTGCTTCAGGAGTCTCAGGCCGGGTGGCCTGGCAGGGAGTTGAGCACTTGAGAAATGAGTCGACAGGTGCAGCAGAGACTTCTGAGAGGGAAGGCCAAGGTACAAATGGCTTGGATAATTTTAAACTAAATAACCTAGGAGGAGCTCTGTTACAGTGCTGAGTTATCTTGGAAATGTTTCTATGGTGTGAACATTTTAAATGGCAATTCTATTTGAAATGATCAGACATTTGCAGACCATTAATCAAGTTGACTGTACAAGTGTTAACCTTTAGTCACTTCTATTTCGAAAAAAGTTCAAGACTGGGATCTGAAAAGGGAAACACTAAAAATGAGGTTTTTTAACTCTTAAAGAATATTTGTAAGGCAGAGCAGAAGAAAGGAATAGGAACTAATATTGAGCGCCTTCGTCGTGCCAGGCAGTGTGTTAAAATGGCACATATCTCCTGTAATACCCATCACAGCCCAGGGGCAAGTAGCAAATGGTATCCCTTTTTTGCATGTGGGGAACAGGGAATTTTAAGTAAATAGCCTAAGATCATATGGCTGGTAAATGGTAAAGCTGACATTTTAAACCAAGTATGAGAAGAAATAGGGGAAAAGAACACATACTTCACTGAAGTTTTTCCTCTTTCTTCCACTTTTGACCAAATGTCACAACATGAGAACTAGGGGGAAAGCCTAGACAAATTAGAAGAGAAACTTTGTTTAACAGGTAATAACTTGGAGGATTGATGACCCTTATAACTAGTGGAAGCTGAAAATGTCCGTTCTAGAGTTTAGGAGCATGAATTAATAAAAGACGGAGACACATCACAAACCCCCTTGAGTTTGGTGTTGAGAGGGCAGCGTGCTTTCCACAAAATGTCCTCTGGTGCTAACCTCAAAGATCAAATAGTGGAAAGGTGTCTGTCCATATCCATGGGAAATTGGTTCCAGGACCCACTGCTCAGAGACCAAAATCCATGGATACTCAAGTCACTTACATAAAATAGCATGGTATTTGCATATACCCTACACACATCACCCGTATACTTAAAACTCATCTCTAGTTTACTTATAATACCTAGTACAATGTAAACACTATGTAAATAGTTGTTACACTGTATTGGCTTTTTAGTTTGTTTTTTTTTTTCTTTTGTATTGTTTTATATATTTTTTCCTGAATATTTTCAGTCCGTGGTTGGTTGAATCCACAGATGTGGAACCCACCCATACAGAGGGCCTACTGTACTGTTGGCCTATCCTTTATGGCATTTCTCAAAATCATTTGTACCTTTCAAAATTTATTAACTTTAATTCTAAGAATAATTCTTTTTTTTAATATAATCTCAGATGGGAAAATATAATTCTAAGATTATTTCTTGAGCATCCATGGGTTGCAAGATATTGGGCAATAACCTTTTATATTAAACTAATTCCTTTAAGGATTGATGGTGCTATAAATATGAGATTTAGATTATTCATTATCCTCAAGCTTGAAAGAGTAGTACATATTTCCTTTTGCCTCACTCTCACCTCCATTAAGACTCAAGTCTGCACCTGGCTTCCATCCCTACTTCCCTGCACTTGGCAATAATGATTTCCTGATTAATATTTGGAAATTTTTGGTCTGTATATTACTTGAACTTCAATTGAAACTTAGCTCTGCTTCCTTCTTAGAAACATGCTTCTCCTTTAACTTCTATGATACCACTTTGACCAGACTCTTCTTTTTCTCTAACCATTCCTTTTTAGCATCCCATTCTAGTTCTTCACCTCTTAGTTTTTGTGTGTTTCTGGGTTGTTTTGGTTGTCGTTGTCATCTTTTCTTCTTTTCTTTTTCTTTTTTTTTTTTTTTTAAACCTTATTCTTAATACCATCTCTATTTCCAGCTCAGGCTTGTGTTTCTGGGTATTTCCTTTTCTCTGTTTATAAAATGGTTTATGACACCTTTTAGGGACATTATGAAAATTAAGAGATAAGTGTTAGTCTTCTAGCATACTGCTTGAATACTCTCCAGACTTTTCAACAGCTGCTAAATTCAATTTATTACCTTTTCCCACAATTTTTTCCTCCTTTATTGTTCTTTATCTCAATTAAGAATGGCTTTGTCCGGCTATTTATCAAGCCACAACTTGGTATCACCACAAATCTTCCTTGCCCATATTCCCTGTATCCAATCACTATGCAAGTATAACTCTTAAATGCCTATCAGGTCACTTTTTCTCTTCATTCCCACCACTGCCAGATAATTACTGTTTTATCCAGTTATCTCAGCTACTTCCTATTTTTCCTGCCTCAAGTACCCTTCCCCAATTCACTCCACCCATAAGCTGTCAGTGTTAAATTACAAATCTGATCGTGGCACTCTCCTACTTAAAATCTGTTAGTTGCTTTTAATTATTCAAACTTCTTGGTGTGGTATTTAAATAAAAATCATCATAATCTGGCCCCTGATGGCCTTTCCAGCCTAATTTCCTCCACTTGAGTCTACAAATGCAGTGCTCTATCACAGTGGACTCCAGCCTTTTTGGCACCGGGACTGGTTTCATGGAAGACAGTTTTTCCATGGACGGGGGAGAGGTGGGTGGATGGTGGTTTCAGGATGATTCAGGCGCATTACATTTATTGTGTACTTTATTATTATTACATTGTTACTTGCCACTCACTGATAGGGTTTTGATGTGAGTCTGCAAGCAATTGATTTATTATGATCTCTGTGCAGTCAAGCCTCTCTGCTAATGATAAGCTGTATTTGCAGCCACTCCCCAGCGCTAGCATCACTGCCTCAGCTCCACCTCAGATCATCAGGCATTAGATTCTAATAAGGAGCGTGCAACCTAGATCCCTCACATGCACAGTTTACAGTAGGGCTCACACTCCTATGAGAATCTAATATGCTGACCTGACAGGAGGCAGGTGATGTGAGCAAAGGGGATCAGCTGTAAATACAGATGAAGCTTCACTCCCTTGCCTGCTGCTCACCTGCTGCTGTGCAGCCTGGTTCCTAACAGGTCACAGACTGGTACTGGCCCAGGGCTTGGGTACTGCAGCTCTATCATACCGAACTCCTAAAATATGCTATTTCAGGCCTTTGTGCCATAGCTGTTCCTCAATCTGCAATTCCTCATCTCGAGTGCAGGAGGAACCATGCTTTTATTTTTTACAACTATTACTTTTGGCCAAGCGTGGTAGCTTGCAACGGAAGCCAAGGTGAGAGGATCACTTAAGGCCAGGAGTTCGAGGCCAACCTGGACAACAGACTGAGACCCCATCTCCACAAAAAATGGAAAATTTAGCTGGGCTTGGTGGTGTGCACCTGTAGTTACAGCTACTTTAGGGAGGCTGAGGCAGGAGGATCACTTGAGCCCAGCAGTTTGAGGTTGCGGTGAGCTATGACACCATTGCACTCTAGCCTGGGCAGCAAAGCAAGACCCTGTCTAAAAACAAAACCAAAAACAAACAAATAAAAATGTTTATTTTAATTACAAAAGTATCTTGTAGAAAAATAT